ATGTGGTAATTAGGGAATGCATATGACTCCGCTAATGATCTTCTTAAAGTGCGCAAGTTGAAACAGACGACTATCTTTGCCACATCTACCAAATAATACATGAAACAATACGCTTCTTTTCGAAAGTACCTAGCCCGCCCTACTCTAAACAATGTTAGGAAAGGGTATTCGGGGTGGAAATCTATTCCCTTAACAGGGTCGTGTAAACCCCCTCTAGCAATGGTTGCCAACTGATGACTGAACATTAATTCCTTGCTACGCCTAGGCATATACATATCCCAAATGATACCATTGGGATCTTGATGTCCAGCGTTTTTCAACTTGCGTACTTTCCTTAGCACTCTCTTACGTCGTCTTTCAGATTCTCTATTACCTGCATGACCAACAGACACTTCAATCAATTATTGTAGTAGGACTATACACTCTTCTAATAGTACTTTATATTCATGCAAATTTTCATGTCATTGAGAGGACAATAACTCTTGCTCACACATAAATATATCACGCATGGTGACATTAGAATTGGTGACAATACAAACAGAATAGTAGTTGAAGCATTAGAATTGCTAATAGAATTCACTTACAATGATTTTAGTTTTGCTGGGAATTGTGTGTTGTACTAAGATTACTACTCATTAGTTTAGAACAAATAAATTCATCATTTTTGAACAAATAAAGCGTTAGCAATAACAAATAGAAAGTAAACAGTCAAAAGGAATACACACAAAAACTTAATTTCATGAGTTAACTATGATACCTCTATTCGCCATTGCCAATGGTGCAGGGTTGAGACCTTTTAGTTTAGTTTATGGGGGAATTGGTGATTTAATTTCAGTGTGTTGTTGACTATTATATAACAACCCAACACCAATGGTTGCATTTACTTTGATAGTGCAATTCAGCTGTAACATAAATGAGTCTTACCTTCCTAAATGTGTTCAACTAATGTGAGAAATGCATTGAGCCTAACACCAAATTTGTACTGTCATTGCAGGTGTATTGTCTTGTCAATAAGAAACTTTGCTTCTGAAGTTGAACAAAACTAGCTTCCTAGATGTACTTCCTTTCTTTATTTTATATTTAAAATTAGAATTCCTCTGTGATTGAAGATCTCATGGGATTTTTTTCCCCTTTTTTCCCAGTATTAATTATGTTATTGTGGATTGAATTTTAAACTACTCCTTCCTCTCATTTGTTCCTAAGTCCTTCCTTTACAGTCCTTCCTTTACAGTCACCATGTCAAGCTCACAAAACTTATCAAGAAGGGCTTGGGGAAGGCCGGTATTACCACACCCCACCACACCTGTCATGTACTTCCGGCCATTCGCCACCACTACCACCCCTGAACTTGATTTCAACTCCACTCCATACTTTGCTACCCATGAGTACTACACAGACGGAATATGTATGCCTTCTTCCTTTCTTCGTGATCAACTATCCACCTCTCTTGACTTAATGACAACCACTTACATTCCAAAAAGTTTTATGCAACTTTCTTTGAAATCCCTCTCCCATATATTTGAAGAGAGCACAAAAATCTGTGGGCGGGAAAGTATTACCAAAACTCCCGCCTTTATAAATCGAAATTAATTGCAGTTGTATACCTCCAGTAGTAATTTAACTACAACCAATGGTACTATAATTACTCTGAATAAGTAACATTGGTACAACCCCTAACTGTACATAAACAGATTACAACGGTTTATATTTACTAGCAGTGGTACTAATATTGTGACAACTGTAGTTAATAAGTAAGACAAATGATCTTAGGACAATGGACAAAGTATGCTCTACAACGGTTTATATTTACTTTCAGTGGTACTAATATCTAATATTGTGACAACTGCAGTTAATAAGTAAGACAAATGATCTTAGGACAATGGACAAAGTATGCTCTACAACGGTTTATATTTACTTGCAGTGGTACTAATATTGTGACAACTGTAGTTAATAAGTACGACAAATGATCTTACGACAATGGACAATGTATGCACTATAAGAAATTGGGTGTAACACCAACCTTCATGCATGGGAAGATGTATTGATATGGTGTTAAGGCATTTAGCAATGGTATATCTTATGAAGAAATGCGGTTAATAGAAAATGGATCTCCGATAAAGACGGTTAATAGAAAATCAAGCTACAATTGGAGTTCTCTGCTAATGATGGTATTACGATTAACAAAAAATGACAAACTATTTTCGGTATATGTGCATAACAAAATCACTACCTAACAAAGATAAACCTAACTACACCACTACTATGTAGACGAACAAGCAAGGGTCGGATCCCAAGAACATATGGTTCAACCAATTAAATAGTCCCAAGAACATATGGTTCAACCAAGTAACAAAATAAAATGAATGAGAATCAATAACTAAAGAACTAATTAAAACGATTAAATGAAAACAATATGACAAATCAATGCTAAAAACATCCAAGATCAAGCTTCACCACGAATACAATTAATGCAATAGTCATTCAGGCGCAATGTAAGACTTATCATTTCACAACAAAATTAGAAGTCAGTTCTCCAATAAACATGATAGTTTTCATCATCAAATGGAACGCGAACATAATTTGGTATCTGAATATTTTGTATTTTTAGGGACTTTCAAATTGGGGTAAAATCATCTCAAGTAATGCCAATAATTTACTACAACACAGCAACACAACACAGCTAGAGATGGAGAAGCATGAATATAGTTCTAGTAGTACCCTACAAAGTTTTAATGGACTACATGACTATTCCTGTTCATAGTTAAAGTCAATACAAGTTGGATTTTTTGGTATTCCAGTGGTTCTTTTCCTCTCCCCAGCGTACTTGTGTAACTTATGAAAATAAAACCCTAAACCCTAACCAACCCTAAACCCTAGACCCTAACCCATAACCCTAAACAGAGTAATAGTACCCTACATGCAGTTAACGATACTTTTGTTATATACAGATAAACATTTACCTAGTGAAAGCTTTGTAACTGTAGTGGTATAACCGTAAATTACAGTAATGTTAAAATAGGCCCAGTAACATATGGATGAATTGCTCATATAAGTATATAACAAGACAAAAAAAACGCGAAATAGGTTTGAATGGGTACAATACCTTCACAATAACTACATAATATGTCCTAAATGTTAGATTTAAATTAGTTTGTAAATCAGTTAGGTTGTAACGGAAATACAATTATGTAATAATGAACAAATACAATATATGTTAGTATAAACAACAAGTGCAAATACAAACAACAAGTGCAAATACAAACAAACACTATATTTGAGTATCAATTTCTCAGGTGTAAAATTGTTAAAATCATTTCTTTGGTACTAATCAGTTAGTCCCCATAACTAAGTGTACAAGTACTAATCCAAAGGAAGCCAAAAGGTTATTTATTAACATCCACTATATAAGGTGAGTATAATTAGTAACACAATCAAATGGTACCCTTCTCAATCTCAGTTGAACCCTTCATCATGGTAGTATAACTTACAAAGGTTATTTACATTAATAGTAAACTTAATTAAATAATACCCTTCTCAATCTCAGTTGAACCCTTTACCGTCTGTATATTCAGGTGGTACCAATTTCCTTTTCAGTTGTACCCTCTGCATGTAAAGCAGGACAGGTATATGACAAATATTTTTCCATGATAGTTTACTATAACAATAGTTTATTCCGTTTCCATGCTAGTGGTACCCTTCTCCTTTTCAATTGTACTCTTTGGTGGTTTAGTATAACAAAAGTTTATTCCATGCTAAGTGGTACCCTTATCTGTTCCGGTTGAACCCTTTGCATTTTCAGTACAACCGATTTTATTCATTCCAACTGTAATCTTTTTCTCGAATGTAAATATACACGATCAACATAATGTGCACACACACACCCTCGCAAAAAAAAAAGGCTTTGATCTTTTAGATAAAAAAAGAAATAAATGTTAGACAATTCTTACACCCAATTTTATCCATTTCGAGGCACCGATTTTATTCATATAGTTAGAGGGTTTGATCTTTTACATCAAAAAACAACTAAATGTGCACACACACACCCTCGCAAAAAAGGGGATCAATGTACTACATATCACAAATACATAATGTCATCCTCCAAAAAAAATACCCTAGGTGCTAACATAAAAGTTCTATTACACATGAGCAAAATAATTACACCATTTTCTTCATGTATTGCATTTCATCATTACGATTTCACTACTTTGCAGACATCGTCACTTGGGTATTGGCTGTACCATTAGCGTGTTGGTTAGTGTCGTTAGGACGAATACGGAGTTCATGAGGATGCTGGTTTGGATGTAGATATTGATGGTGGTAAGCCTGAACATACTGCTGATGGTGGTAAGGACCAAAGGGTAGGAACACAGGCTTAGGAGCAATGGGTCTGTAATTTCCGGAAGCAGGTGCTGTTGCAGAATTAGGGGTACTAGGGGTCGCCACCGCCTCTGTACATGGAATGACTGGTCTGTAGTGATGATGGTAAACAGATTGTCCATCAGTCCCCGACATGTTGGCTGATGGAGTATGGGGGGTATTTGCACTTGGCACACCAGTGAAATACCCTATTGATCCATCAGCATCCACCATCTGGATGCATCCTAGAGTGGGGGCTGTAAGGAAACACAAAACCGTGTGGTGGACCCATCTACAATAGACAAAACAAGACACACCAACAAAACACACCATAAAACACAAACCCATTGCAAACTATCAAACAACCATAAAAAAACTTAAAATACTAAACGGAAGATAACCTGGGAATATGAAGGTGTAGCATATGAAGGTGTACACTGTGAATCATTTTCAACCTCTGAGGATTTTTTTGTATTTCTCTTGTTGTTTGTCTTACCCCCTTTTGTAGACTTCTCAACACAAGAAGGGAATCTCACAGCAGTTGTTCTGTGAGCAGGCCTCTTTGGCATTGGGGGATCCTTTGGTACCTCAGAGCAGCTACCTTGTCTCTGTGTGGAAGGGGTAACAGGAGTTCCCTTCTCCCATCATCCTTCTCCTTGTGCGTTACTACCATTGATCATCGATAGCTTTTCATCCACTTGAATTTCTAATAATTGCAGGCTTTGGATCACTAGATCAGTTGTGGTTTTATAAACACAGGCCTTCGTGCTAAGTGAACCAAACTTGACCATCATTTTATCATACCTACAAACCTCGTCAGTCTTGTTTGGGTCATGGTAAGCAACCTTAACCCTTGTGTGCTTCCTAATCACATCTTTCCTCCAACGCCTAAGAATGAATTTGTCAGGTATCTCATAGTGATCATTCAGCTCGTAAACCTTGATGATGTGACGACAAATAATACCGTGGCATTCAAAGTGCTTGCAGTCGCAACTAGCTTCTTTAGAAACACAATCGAAGGTTGTTTTGTATCTCCGCTTCCGCTTTGAAGGTTTCTCCTTCGTACAGTTTTTCGGCTTGTACCAAACTCTATCCTCAACAACATGCTCAATGATACTCTCAGAAACAAGTCCTTTTTCAATTCGACTAACATAAAGGGACCGGCTACATTCACGCTGGACTTCTTTAAATTTTGCATCGGTATAGATATTCTGGAATATAAGCTCAACTGGGAAGTCACTGTAAGCCTTCCTCACATATCTCGCATTGTTATCATCAGCTTTCTTTTCAGCTGTAGCTCTAACCTCAAGAGCCTCAACGTAACGCTCAACAAATTCATGCAGCAGGGTGTGTCTACTTAGATATCCATCAAAGAAGCTGTGAATGCTTTCCCAGCCCAAAACAAATGCTTGACAAACGCTGGAACCCACATTGCTTGTTCTTCATACAAGCCTGACAAACAGCAATTATAATTACTAAAATTACATTAAAACCAGACATACTTGCTGCAAAATTGATGACTCCAAAAATTAAAAATATAAAAATGACAAAATCAGCATTTCATATTACAAAACACCAACACAAACATTTTGCTCGAAGACAACATTTCAAAATACAAAACACCAACACAAAACTAAACTAGAATCAAAATATGTCTCCAATTCAACTAAATTTTAACAGATGAACTAAACTTAGTTTGCAAATACATTCACATTTACTTACCTGCCAACCATTCATCATCTTCAACTTCGAATTTCTTAATAACGTCACGCCAACGTTCTTCATATTCCTCACAATCAAGACTATCATAAATAGCATGCTTCAGCGCCTCCTTCAGCTCCTGGTACTTCTAATGCTTGCCTAACTTCTTTCCAAACTTGTTAATGATGTGCCAAATGCACCATCTATGGGTTGTTCCTTTCATAACAACCTCAGAGCTTTCCTCATTGCCGGATCCTGGTCAGTAAGGATCCCAATAGGTTCTGTGTCGCCCATGCATCGAAGCCAATTTGAGAACACCCATTCAAAAGTCTCAGCATTCTCACGGGTGACAAGCGCACATCCAAAAAGAATGGTTTGCCCATGATGGTTCACTCCTACAAAGTTGCAAAAAGGAAGTTTGTATTCATTAGTCAAATAAGTGGAATCAAATACAACTACATCCCCAAACTCTTCGTAAGCCACCCTACTCCTTGCGTCTACCCACAACACATCCTTAAGCCTTCCTTCTTCATCAACTCGATATGTGTGAAAGAAATTTGAATTGTCATCTACCATTCTCTTAAAGTAAGAAAACATGGCTTTTGCATCACCTTCTTCAAATACCCTTTTCCTTTCCTTAGACACTTCATCATGTAAGTCTTTTTGCTCAAACTGCATCCCCTCCAACCCATTCCTGTGCCGAGCCATACTTCTGTAAATAGTAGAAACTGGCACCCCTGCCCTTCTTTCTTGAAATAGCTGCTTCACAATATGGGGATTTTCCACCAAAAACTTCTTTCGAAATTTACTTATACTCTTCGCTTTACTAGGGGTTGGACTATGCCCATCATGTTCCATTTTTGCCTTTGTTATCTCCCACTGACCTACACCATTCACATGTGCATATACAAACACAGGGCATTCACATTTTTTTGACTTTCGCTTAGGACACAACTCTTCATCCTCACTGATTTGAGCATCTGTGACTAAACCCACTTCACTCTTTTTCCTCTTTCGACCAGGCCTTCCATAGTTTTCACATGTCCACCTACAATTCCTCTTTGCCCCTTTTCCATTATTTGCACCGCTTGCACGCACAACACCAAACCCATTCTGCTGCCCATATTCCCTGAAATACTTATCCACTTCTATCATGGACTCAAAAACCATTCCAATGGATGGAGGTGGCAAAGCAACATCCATCTCCACTTCACCAGCCTCCTCAATCTGAATAATGATGGAGACATTGCCCTTCCCTTTCGTTGGAGTCTTAAAGGACTCCTCCCCTACAATTACCTAGTACACCATAACATAATACATTCACCTCACAAAGGTCAGCATTAAACATTAGGTCTAAAAATTTTGAGCACTTAACAATAACATATACTCACACAACTAGTCGTAATAAGTAAAACGAAAAGTACATGATCATCTAACAGAGAGCACTGACTACAGGGAGGACAATGCAATTCTGAGCAATTACATGACATACCAATACAACCAATCAAGTTACATGTATATATTGCAAATTTCTCATACAACTGCGCAGCACAACGAAGTCAATTATGCAACTTTTCATACGATTGTAAATTTACAAACACTTATTCCCCCTTCCCCCCAATTTTCAGACAAACCCAGAATTACATATCCAAATTTAAGCAATTAAATAGTCACCTGATTTAAAAGCAACTCCAATGCCGCTGCGCAGTCCACTTCTCCACAGTCGTCATCTACGGCCTCTGGGATGCTCGGACCTAACTCACCACCGTTGTTGTACCGCTCGATATCCTCAGTTCTTTCCAGATACTCCATTACACTCCAACTGAGAATACTGTAACTTTTTCTTTATTTTTTAAACTCCATTTTTAAGGTTTTTTGGAGCTCAACAATGGAAGAAAAGTTGGTCAGCTTTTCGACATTAACTTTTGGAGGAAGAAGCTTCTTTTTTTCAAAATTACAGTGGGTCTCTCTCTCAGGAAGTACAACTGGTGGGGAAGGGTGAATTGTTTTTTTTTTAATCAGCTATGGGTCCCACACCGTTACAAGTTTTTTACTATTCCGTTCACCTTTTCCCTCCATTTCCACAAACCGTTACAATAAAGTGGCTCTTTATTTACAATTTTGCCATGTTATGCACTTGCATATACAATATCAAACCTCATTTAGTACTTCCTCCTACTTACCATCTTCATTAGATTGACACGCACTTATAAACTATTGGACATTGCTAATGCTCTTTCAAATATTATTATTAGCTCACACAGCTTCCATAATCTAATAATTTTGCTCCTAATTAATCGTCATTATTTTAATTTTTAAGGTTTTATTATTGTACAATGCAAAACCCAAAAATTAACGTAAGAAAAGAATACATATAAGTTGCTCCCATGGACCTAATTAGAGTATTAATTAGACAAATGCTCTTGACTACCTCTTGTTGAAGTTTAGACAACTTTGCATATTGCCTAAAAAAAATATATATTAATAAGTTGTCTTGTGGGTATTAATTGAACGAGTTGGTCGCGAGCTGAATGTTTAATTTGTTTGACATTGAGTTTAATTTTTTTTTTTAAAAAAAAATTAAGACAACCGAGTTTAACTTTCATTTGAAAGATAATATAGATATAATTTATTTTTTAACATTAATAAAAAGCAACTCTTTTAGAACATTGCTTCTGTAAGTTTCCCTTCTTAGCTCTTAATAGTTAGGGCATGTTCTCTTCAGCTTATTTTCAGTTCAGTTCCTAATTTCCTTCTCTCATAAAATATTAAGTTCAGTTCATTTCGATCAACTCAGTTCAATAAATAAGAACATACCCTTAGCTTCCTGGACACGACTTAAAACATTTTTGTAGATATTGAAACAAATCGAGCAAAAGGGAAATTCCCTGTTTTTCATGGTGAGAAACGAAATTTGTTTCTCATGGGGGCATTTTTGTGAATAAATCAACAACTTTAATTGAATAAAGTTATTGCTGGTTTATTTACGAAAATATTATGTGAGAAACAAATTGTTTCTCATCATGAGAAAATGGGGCATCTTCCGAGCAAAATCTAACACGATTGTGATAATATGTGTTCAAAGTTTTAAAATACGGCTCACTAAACGCAATGGGGCAAACAAATAAATAGGGGACAGAGAAACTAATAATTACGTATTGCTAATAATCTTACATTATATGTAAATAATTTCTTTGTAGCTTGACTTAGCAGCAGTTAACACCTACCTGTCTGGGAGAAGTCAACTCAATCATTTACAATAGTTTATCAGAAAAACCTCCCCTTTTTTATTTTTTAAGTTAAGATGATCTGAGTTAGTTACTTATCTCACAAATTTAAAAAGAAAATAGCTGTATTATTTGAAAAAACCACTAGACATATAAATGAACAATGGGAGAAAGAAATATTGGGAAAAAAAGGGAGAGAGAATTAGAAGTAGATAACAATAATATATAGAAAAAATTTTGGGAGTAAAAATGAACAATTTTTGGAAGAGTTCAGTATGTGCAGATAAACTAAGTGATGTTGCTCCAACTTCAATAGATGGAACAAGCCATTATTCGAATGGCATTCTTCCTTCTCTTGGTGCACGTAGCAATCGCCGTAATGCCCTTGGCCGCTTCATTGTTGCCCCTTTTGATCCCCGTTATAGGTACCTCTTCGTTGTTGTTGTTGTCGTCGTTTTTGTGATTTGTAATTTTTTACTTTGCACTTCAATTGAAATTGTTTGCATTTATGTGTATATGAAATTTGACATGAAAAATGGTAATTGCATTGAGTTGATCAAGTATCGTCCGGCTTGTTTAGATTGGAACATTACGTGTATTTCAACACGTACAAAAGCTTGGGTGTTTTGGGTATTTGGGTATGAATTTTATTTTGGATTAAGAAGTCTAAATTCAGGTTTAATTGAGTTTGAGTATGAATTATTTGACCAGCGTGAAAATTATTCCTAATTATAAGATTATCGGGGTATCTCACCATCATAAAAAACACCTGATACGTAAGATGGATCAAAGAGAGAGGGAAATTAAGATATGATCACATGCTTGCAGGGTTTACAATGACTCACAAAAGTAGTCATTTAAAAAGTTATTTTTTTTAAAATTACAAGACGCTATTATTACAATATGATCCTCGTATAGAAATCATTAGGTAAATTTGTAACAATAGGTTTTGTATTATTCAAAACTTAATCATCATTTATTATAGAAAGATAGATAACTGGTTTCTTATTAAGTTGACTTTTTCACCCTAAAAATAATACATGTATAGATGTATTTGCACGCACGTATTTGTATGACTTGAGGAGACTAACCAAGTAGCGATTTTGTGATGTGCAAAGTGATCGACAAAACAGACTTCGATATTAAATTTTAGAAGGCCCAATTTTAGGATATATCTATATTAATTTCATAATTGTTACTCAGTATAAAAATATAAAGGCGGTGTAGTATTTTAGAGTGAGATCATGGGTTCAATACCTTGAACAAACAAAACTGTCTTACAAAGGATCTCATAAATATTACGTCATTCTAAAAAAACACATCTTAATATAAAAGGCTGTTATGCAATTTTGTTTGTGTCTAACGGTGATGTATTAGGACTTCCTACTCTACTAGCCATCTTGATTAAAATTCTTTCAAGTTCCAATGCCTACGAAATTTATGTACTTGTAAATGCCAATTTTTTTTTTGGGTTACGTTGCATGTATACATTTCTACTTTGACATGAATGCATCTAATTCCTAAGAAATTCAATTTTCCATTTTTTTAATTCATCAACCAATTACCAACACAAAATAAACAACTTCTTGTAGATTCAATTCACTATACTGTGTTGCAATAATACACATAATTAATGGGTCAAATAAAAAATCACATGATTATTCCATTTTTTTAATTCATCAACCAATTACCAACACAAAATAAACAACTTCTTGTAGATTCAATTCACTATACTGTGTTGCAATAATACACATAATTAATGGGTCAAATAAAAAAATCACATGATTAGGACTTGGAATTTTCTCGTATTTTAGATTTGTCAAATGAAATTGAAGATGAATAAAACATTCAATGTGCTTTTAAAAATTAAAAAAAAAAATTCTAATTTGTAACACACGCTTTATCCATTTTATTTTACTTACAACACAACCACATGACATACAATATATTAATTTATATGCAGAATACCTAGCTCGACATTAAAATTATTTTGATAATGTCGCTTGTTTACCTTCTCTAAATACATCCTAAAAATACACATCCTAAATTTTATTTCATAAGTAAAAGAAAATAAAAGAAGTAGAAAGTTTAGTACTCCGTACGTTACATTACTTTTTATAAAGAGTTCGTTAACCTTAAACATGGATTCACAATCAATGTATACGATGAACCCATTCAAGCACACACCCTTTACTAGATTAGATTTGGTTTCAATTCAATCTACCTTATCAAATAATAAATCCTTTCATGTTACTTTTAATAGAAGTAGAGATTTAGTAACGGTGTCATTTAATATTACGAAAAATCAACCCAAAAGATATGAGTATTAATAGCTCATCACAAACTCCAAAATTTGGGATCTAGTTCAACTCATATATGCCAGTCCTTAATTGGCCTATGTCTACACTACATATTTTTCTAATAAGAGGAAAGACACTTCTCACCAAACATTAATTGTTTCAATAGTATTTCCACAATACTCCCAATCAATTACAAATACATTTTTTATACTTGCTTAATTATAAATTAATAATAAGCATGCATTTTTATTTATTTTTCTTAACAAAATTATATTACTGAATACAATAATCACAGTTTTTTTCTCCGATTATCAATGAGTAGTTATATCAGTAAGAACTTACAAATTAACGTACGTAACAATTACATTTCACACACATTGACAATAACTCAAATTAGATTCTTTATATCAGTACTTATTATAACGAAAAACACGTGATTTTAAATAAATTCTAGTAAATTATGATTTTGAGTTTTTTTTTTTTTTTTTTTGAAAAGATTATGTTTTCGAGTTTAGAATGGAATCATTACCCAAATAAAATTCGGCTTAATGGAAGCAACATGGAAGTCCATCGATGCCATTATTCTGAGATTCCTCATAATTTCATTTCAACTAAGATAGCCGCCCATTAGACCCCAAGTCAAAAAAATTGATACCCATTTTTTAATTTTTTTTATTATTATTATTATTTCTTAAAAGGCAGCCTTTAATATACCCCATTTAAGGTTATTTTAAGAATAAAACAAAAAAAGTATTTTTCAGACTTAAGTCAAAAAAATAATTCTCTACTTTTCCTACAAAAACAATGCCAGAAAAATGATACTCCGTACCACTGAACTCGGACAGTAGCAATATTGCAGAAAACAGGGTATTTTGAATTACCAAAAAAAAAAAAAAAAAAAAAAAAAACAGAAACAGAGGAGAGAGAAAAAATTGCTAAATTGAGAGATGAAAACATGGTTTAATTCTCCAATTTGTGGTAAAAATATTATGGAAGTTGAAATTGACCCAACTTCAATTGATGGTTCAAGCCATTATAGTCTTTCTAATGGTGTTCTTCCTTCACTTGGAGCTCGTAGCAATCGTGGTGCTTTTCTCCATCGTTCTACTGTTTCACCCTTTAATCATCGTTATAGGTTTAATCTTTAATCTTAATCTTATTTTCTTTGTATAGTTTTGTTGATTTTTAGTATGAAATTTCATCTGGGTTTTGAATTTTTTGAGCATTTGTGTTGTTTTTTGCATGTAATATGTTAGAACTGATCTGGGGTTTTAGAGTAATTTTA